TCCTAGAAATCGGTAAGGAGGAGGCGTAGTCCGGCGTCAAGGGTCTTCAGATAAACCCCCACTTTTCCAGGAGGAGGAGACATAATGGACGAACCAGGTAACAGAAACTCGACCCCATCCGCTGAAGAAAGTTCGTACGTCTCCTCATGAAACTTCTACACAGCTTCAGTAGGAAAGGTCCCGGATGGACCAGCCATGGAAGAGAAGAGGAAAAGGAACCCTAGAAGAAAGAAGAACAGAGGAGAGGAAGTGTGAAGAAAAAGGAAAGAACGACGATAAGCGTTCTTATATAAGAAAGGAAAAGGCAGGATATTCAAAATGCCTGACAAAGTGACGTAACCGCTATCCATGATGAGCGGTCACGTCGTCATTAAAACTGGAACGGCGGGCGAACAGGAAACAGACACGTATAGAGAAATTAAGTCCAAAACACTGTAGCTAGAGCAACAACGCTACGTCTACCGGACTGGGGGACTTCATAACGTGCCCTAGCCAGCACGAAAGAGTCGCGCCTAGCTCAGAAGGCTGGCGCGCCCGGCAGACCAGACCCAATGGGCTTAGCGCCCCTAAGGGCAGGGCGCTCTGGCAAAAGGATAAGCGCCCGCTAGAGGCGCCCTTGCGAAAGGCTCGCGCCTGCCAAGGGCGCCCTCAGCTCCAAGACAATGATATGGTCAGGCGACAAAACAAGGGATCAGAGCATTACCGTCAGGACCAATGGCAGCGCTCTAACAGATAGAGGAGCACGATCCTCCAATCACCGCCCCTGATCCTGTCGTCCCAGGCGATCTTGTCTCGTACGGACGAGCAGGATCGCTGAGTATAAAAGGAAACGCTCACGACCCAGATAGGTAAGTCGTCTTCCCCAAGCTACACTCATACACACCCACAAAACCCTACAAACTTGACCGTCGGAGCGTCTTTTCGGGAGCCTCCTCCCAGGAAACGGCTGACGGCCTTCTTTCTCTATGATCTTGTAGGAGCAGCTCAAGAACTATTGCTAGAGTCTAGCGAGAACCAGAGCAAGGTCGCATCACTGTCAAACTCCCAAATAAAGCTCCAAACTCAATCACCTACGTCCACCAATGGTTCACTTCTATAAATTCCCAAATTACTAAAATACCCTCATAAGTTAACTGGTCAACCCTTGGTCAAAGTCAAAGTCAACTGTCAAGGTCAACAGTCCAGGTTGACCCAACTCGTCGAGTGTAGCCCACTGACTCGTCGAGTTCCTTCAGAACTCGAGAAACCGTGAAAACCCCAGTTGACTCGCCGAGTTTCCAGACAACTCGTCAAGTCCATGTGGTGTCCATAATGTCGGGAAAACTCTAACTAACTCGTCGAGCCATTTCACCAACTCGTCAAGTCCATGCAGAAACCAAAAATGGTCAATCTTCATCTGACTCGTCGAGTTGATCATGCAACCCGTCAAGTCCCTTCAATCCATTTCTCATTCAGACGTTTTTAAGCTACCCCAAAGCTCCAAATTGTAGATCTAGCTTCCTAAAGTGAAGTTATCACGTAAAGTTGCTAACTTTACGTGCATGCAAGGTCTTAAAAGGCTTAAAACACAAAAACTAAGTCTAGGATGAGGTTTAGGGCATGGAAAAAGGCCAATACAAGATAAAGTTGATAACTTTATGAATTTGGGGCCTAGAGGAGTCTAGATCTGAGACCATGTCCTTGTGACAATCTCAAATCCAAGAGTGGCTCCACTAAACCCCAAAAATGACCATAAATGTCCATAGGAGAAGATCTAAGCATGAAAGGGTCAAGGTATTAGCTTTATACCTAAGATTGGTTGCCAAAACGAAGTAGATGACAGATTCACTTCCTCCTTTTCGATCCAAGTTCTTCACTCTTCAAGTTTCCCTTCCAAAATCAACAAATAACACCTTTCAAGCTCTCAACACACACAATGGGGGTTTAGGACCCGATCTAGAGTTTCCTCTGGCTGTAATGACGATGAGGGAGGCAAGAGACGGCCCATAAGTTCTTTAAATAGGATGCAAACCCTAAAATTTAGGGTTTCCATGCACAGCCTCTACTCGTCGAGTCGGGTTCCTCTGACTCATCGAGTAGGAATCATAAACCACGCGGGCTAACTAGGTTCAACACGACGAGTTGGGGCCTCTAACTCATCGAGTTCCCTCAAAAAAATGAATATAAAGCTTTCGAAAATAATACCTGGGAGTCGGGAATGTTACATATACCCCTAAGGTGGGGCCCATTGTTATGTGTTGTATGTGGTATATTGGGTAACTCACTAATCTTTGTGCTTATAATTTTAAATATAAATTGTTTCGGATTTTCTGGTAACGAAGGAAGGGCGCGTCTTGATTACATCACATCTATTGGAGATTTATAAACTTAATAACTCTTATTTCCATACTATGATAAATGTTTTGTATCAAATGGTTTTATTTAGATATTTGAAGTTTTAAATTAAACAAACGCTTTTAATATCAAATGAAAATTTGGTTTAGAATTTGCGACGTTACAAAACAAAACAAAACACAATTTCATTTTCTCTTAATTTTGTTTTAAAAGCATACCATTGATCTATGTTAAATTATGGGATGAAAAAAATCAATTATATATATATATATATATATATATATATATATATATATATATATATATATATATCTATATATATATGCAAAACATTATTAAAGTTTATAAGAACAATAAAAAATTAATACTTTTTAACGAATATAACTCAAATGTTTTGTTCTTCAATTGAAAAACTATATCGAATGATTTGGGAAAAGCTTTATTAAGTTATTGTATGTTCTTTAATCTTTTATTTTATTAGTTTTCATTTAAAACTTAATATGGTTGATTAAATGGTCATGACTTTTAATGCTTTAAGTTTTTAGATACAATGAAAAAAAAACATAAATTTGATTGGTTTGGTAAGTCACATGATTAAGAAAGAATTGTAAACGGGGTATCATTATTAGTTTGGATATTTATGGATCAAAACTACATAGTTTCAAAGAATCTGTATATAAATTTAGGTATGTAACAACAATATATTCCCTAAGCCCATATATATATATATATATATATATATATATATATATATATATATATATATATATATATATATATATAATCACACTGTTTTTAGGCAATGGCGAATCTAGGATTCAAAGTAACAAGTGTCCAATTCTAATTGGGTAACAAAATAAAAGGATCGAATTTTTTACCGGGTCAGGTTGTTAATAATAACATCCAAGTATAATACCAAGATCAATGTTGGTATTGAAAATACTTGCATACGAGTTAACATTATTCCTAGTTTATCTTTTCTTTCTTAAAAGCTTAACATCATGCCTGAAATTAATAAATATTATAAATTGGTAATCATTCTATATAACAAACAAACAAACTCTACTAAAAACAACTAAAATCGGTAGCAAAATCGACAAAACAAAAACAACTAAAATCGGTAGCAAAGTCGACAAAGCAGCAAAATTGAATTTGAGTAAAACTATAAAATGAATTCAAAAGGACTCAAGCCAATTAGTCAAATGAAATTATGCTAGACAAACTCTACTAAACACAATAATCAATATCAAAATCGATTAAGTAGCAAAAAATGAATTTGAGAAAAATTGAAAAAGTAAATTTAAAGGACTCAGACCAACTAGTCAAAAGAAATTAATAGCGAGTGCCTAATTGAATAGTTAAGTCAATAACTTATGACACCGCTATGTGCTATCTATTCACTTTCAAACTTTCTCTTCAACTTTCTAATATACCTAACAGCAACTAAGTAACCACCGGATCATAGAGAGACTGCCATGTTTTTGCCCATTTATCACTTGAAACATAAAATCAACCACCAAATTTTCAAGAGGAAGACAACCTACTTGATTTTCAAGAACAAAAGACTTTGGTGGACGATGCACGACGAAGATATGCAAAATCAAGCGGGATGAAAAACGTGGTAGATCCCGGTGAAAAGGCAAGCAGTTGTGGCTGTCGGAATCCCGTAGAGTTGTGGAGATGCAACTGATGGTGGTCTATCCTCGAAACACAGCCATGTTAGAACTTTTTGGTGAAAATCGTTAGGGTTTTTTATATCTTTATTTTTTTCCTATTTTTTCTCAATTTTCAAGTTTCAATCTCCTAATTTATTATAATCTCTTACAACTTAGAATTGTATGTGGTTAGTAATTGTTTTCTCAAAAATCTAACGGTGTCATTCCTAAAAATTTAAGGGTGTCCTTATGAAAAAAATCATCTACACTATAAACAACATTCCAAAGCAAGGGGTGTCCAAGGACACCCTTTACATACATGTAGGGTCGCCTCTGTTTTTAGGTTCGGTCAGGTTCGGTCTGACCGGTTGAAGCATCAAATCGCTATGACAGTCAGCTCGATCTCTGATCCGGTTTTCAAAACCTTGTCACACCATTTTAAAACTTTAATAATACCATAAAACTATTTAAAGTTGAAAGAAGTCCAGCAACACAAAGCCAACCAAGTTTATTTTTACGTTACACCCACTAACACCATAGAAATGAAATAAACTTAATAGAAAGAAATAACATAAAGCAATATCAATGAAGCCCGGTTGCACATTACACCACTTAATAATGCCGTGCGTAAAGATAAAATATAAATTACAGGAAATTAAAAACACAAAACATTGTCAATCATAGTAGTTGAAAACTACACCACCACATGACACCACAAAAATAAAATAAAATTGAAAGGAGACTAAAATACAAAACAGTATCTATTATATTAGTTGTATATAATATAATGCCACCTAACACCATAAATTAAATAGAACTCAACGTAGACCGGTAACAAAAAAAATATTGTATATGACATAATTTCACATAAATCACCTAACAAAAGAAAATGATAGGACCCGTCATCCTTCCAAATATTTTAGTGGGTGACAGAAGAAAACAAAAGTGGAGGGTCGTTGACCAAAAATGTAAGTGACCATGTGATTACTATTTAAGCAGCTACAGCTTTCAAGGTTGATTAAGGCTATTGACTTACAATTGCTTTCATTCACATTTTCTTCTTACACGATATTTCTTATAAGGCCATTTGGTATAATCACTAATCAGGAAGAAAGCATCTGTGGAAACACCACAACCAATCAGTACTATTTTCTTCTCTCTTCGTTTTAGTCACCACCATCATTGCAGGTACACCAACAATGGTGTGGAAGGAGATGGTGGCGAAGTGGAAGGAGATGTTGATGAGGTGGAGGGAAACCACGCTGCTTGCCGTGCCCCCCATAGGCCCCCCCATACCCGATGAACTATTGTCTTCAATCGGGAAAGAGTATGATCACCTAAAAATCCAAATGGCAGACATAATATTGGCTACGGACAACTTTAGTTCCAGCAAACTCATTGGGCGTGGTGGGTTTGGTCCGGTGTACAAAGGTGAACTTTCTCTTCCGACAGGATCAACCATGGTAGCTTTCAAGTGCTTGGATCATAGATCCTATCAAGGAAACACCGAGTTTTGGAAGGAGATCATGATGCTTTCCAAACGCAAACATGAAAATCTTGTCTCTCTCCTTCACTTTTGCATTAAGAATGACGAGAGAGTCCTTGTGTACGAGTATGCCGCTCGTGGAAGCCTTGATCATTATCTAAGTGATGCTAAAACTCTTAAATGGAACCAACGACTTTGTATATGCATCGAGGTTGCACGTGCACTAAACTATCTTCATGATCCCGTGGAAACACAACAAAGAGTTCTCCATCGAGACATGAAAAGCTCAAACATCCTTCTGGATCATAATTGGACTGCTAAAGTTTCTGATTTTGGTTTGTCAAAAATAGGCCCAGCAAACCAACCACAGACATATCTAATCACCAATGTTGTTGGTACGCCGGGGTATACTGATCCGTTATATTCAGAGACGTGCTTGCTAACAAAAGAGTCGGACGTGTATTCTTTTGGAGTCGTGCTGTTTGAAGTAATGTGTGGCAGATTATGTTATGATTGTAATACTAGTGGTGAACTAACTGCCATTTTAGTGCCTGAGTGGAAAAATTTTTATGATGAAAATAAACTACATGATATTATCTTTCAAGATCTCAAGGAACAAATGGTTTGGGATTCTTTGATTATATTTGCAGCCATTGCAAGACGATGTTTAGAAACAGATCGTAAGGAGCGACCCACGATGGATGAGATCTTAAATGAACTCGAGGTTGCACTGGATAAACAAGAGGTAAAGTATCCAAAGATATGCTGTATAATATCTTGTTTTTCGTGCATGGTATAACGTTATGACAAAATATTATTTGCAGAATACTACTTTTGACGACCATTTATTCAAGATTTCAAAGCTTGCAATACCTCCTCTGCCGTACAAATCCCGAAAGGAACTCATCTTACGTCTCTCCAATGGGATTCTCGTCGATGAGGGGAAAAGGGTAATTAGCTTTTATTTTGCTTTATTTTTATTATTTTCTATATATAAAACAAAATAGTTGAACAAATAACTTCCAAATCTACTAAACTTTGTAATTCTTATTATATGTTTAAGTCATAAAATAACTATGCACTTGATCATTACTCTCATCTTGGTCACCAAAGGCTTTTTTTTTTTTTTTTTTTTTTTTTTTTTTTTTTTTTTTTTTTTTTTTGTACTTATTCAGTTATTTTAGATCATGGGTACCCGTTGAACAAGTCATATGGTAAGGACACAACCAAATATATTTAGCTTGTATTTAATGAAATTTACATTTAAAGTTAATGAATTATTATTTTAAATATAAGTTGAAATTTATTTTCCTTTCCCGTATATGTTGGGAAGAACAAATAAAAAAATATATATACATAGTTATTTACGATCTTTACTTTTTTCGACTAACACTAGGAAATTTCTCGTATAACTTACTTTATTTCAAAGAATGGTGATTTTATGTTACCGATAAATAATAAATTCATTGGTTGCTCGTAAATAGACTATCTATCACCTAAAATAGAACTAATTGTATGTATAAATGGGTAGAGTGGTGTGTTTGCCCACTAAATGGTTTGTAATCTCCCTGGAAAAAAAAAACTCTATCATGTTTTCTTCTTTTTGTTTGCCCCGTCTAGTTACTTGTTAGGCGGTGGCCATTTATAAAATATTTGCCGGTTCCAAAAAAACCCTAAAATAGAAAAATGGCATACCTTAAATTTTGTATATAACTAAATTAGTTGTCTTTGTAGAAAATTAAAATCTTTGTTTTTCTTTGAATTAAGTATGTTTATATGTTTATTTGGCAGTGGCTTTGGATAAATGAACGCAAACAAATTAGTGAAATGGAATCCGCAACAGAATCTTTCCGTACATCGAATAAAATCAATAACTTTACATACATATCAAGGTTAGAGGTCGGATCCTTTTATCCATATTTACCCTCAAAAAATCAATAAATCAAAATTTTAACATTATTTTTTTTCTTTTTTACACAAATTATTATTATTATTATTACTCCCTTTGTCCCAAAATGATAGTCCACTTTTGATTTTTGAAGTATTTTTTCTTCAACTTTGACCTTAAATATTTTTATTTGTGTTATATATTACTTGATAAAACTTATAAAAATGAAAAAACATTTAAAATACAATCCATCCATATATTTTGCATCAAGTATTATCTATCAAAATAAAAAATATTAAAGGTCAAAGTTGAAGAAAAAAAAACTTTAAATTTTATAGTATATTATTATTATTATTATTATTATTATTATTATTATTATTATTATTATTATTATTATTATTATAAATTTTATACAAAATCTTAACATTCGGACGCCATTATAAATTTGAACGGCTATATAAAATCGATTTTTAAATATTTTTTATATTTAAATATTAATATTACTATTGTTATTATTGTTATATATTTTGAACAATATTTTATAAATCGGACATTATAAATTCGAACGGTTATATATAATCGGAACAAAAGCAAAGTTTGTCGCTTTTAATTACGGATCAAAACATTCTGCTGCATTGAAAACATTGTATAGGCTCG